GTTGGTGTTGAGGGCTTTGAACGCTGTGTTTGAGGACCCTGTGGACAGCTCCTTGCACTTACATTTGCAGGGAGAGGCCTGGTCTGCAGGTGAGAGCTCAGTCCAGGGAGCCTGCCAGGAGGGAGGGGAGCTGGCCATAGGGCCGCCGGCCTGGGCGGTGGCCTCGTCTTGAGGAACGCAGTGCTGGACGCTTTGAGACCGGCACCGGATGCCGCCCTCCGGTGCTTTGTTGGGGCTGGACATGTGCTGGCTGCTCAGGGACTGGGCTTTGGCAAGCCCCGGGTCCCAGGTGCTGGTGGGTGGGCGGCTGGGGCTGGACGACGGGCAGGGGCTGGCTTCCTCGGCCTCTGCTGGCTGCAGAGTGGGCGCCTGGTCTGAGGGCAACGTGCAGGCCGGCTGGGGCTTGCCTGGCGCATCCAGGGGAGCACAGAAGGACGGGGTGGGCGAGGGGCCCTGGCTCTGGACTTTGCTCATGACGTTGGGCTCCTCCTCAGGCTCCGGCCAGAAGCGAGGGGCACTGGCCATCCTGTGCATGGATTCGATGAGCCGCCGGCAGTTGCCCTTGATCACGGGCGGCCGCTCCATGAAGAGCAGCCGCGGCACGATGTCCAGGAAGACGCGGCGCACCCAGGCGGGCATGGAGTGGGTGCGCGGGGAGCGGTGGTGCACGTTGAGCACGAAGACGGTGATGATGATGGAGAGCGTGACGAAGATCATGGTGAAGAGCAGGTATTCGCCGATGAGCGGGATGACCAGGGAGGTGGAGGGGATGATCTCGGTGATGAGCAGCAGGAAGACGGTGAGCGACAGCAGCACGGAGATGCACAGCGTGACCTTCTCGCCGCACTGGGAGGGCAGGTAGAAGACCAGCACCGTGAGGCAGGAGAGGAGCAGGCAGGGGATGAGGAGGTTGACGGTGTAGAAGAGCGGCAGGCGCCGGATGATGAAGGCGTAGGTGATGTCGGGGTACACCTCAGCGCAGCACTCGTACTTCCTGGTGTTGTAGGTGCCCACGGCGTCCACGAGGACCCACTCGCCGCTCTCCCAGAAGCCCAGCCGGTCCACGTGGCTGTGCATGCTCACCAGGTCGACCTTGGCCTTGTCGTAGGTCCAGGACCCAAACTTCATGGTGCAGTTCTGCTGGTCGAAGGGGAAGGAGGTGACGTCGATGCTGCAGGAGCTCTTGTAGATGGCAGGCGGCGTCCACTGCACCCGCCCGTCGTGGAACAGGTGGGCCTTAGTCAGGTGGGTGACGGTGAAGTCCCCGTCCGCGCTGGGCAGGGAGAGAGGGGTGAGACCCAGGAACAGGTGGCCCTGACGCCTGGCCCCCAAGGCGCCCGCCATGCACGCACCTGGTCGTGAGTCTAGGCCCCGGGCAGGTGTCACCTGGCTATGCCACTCTCTCAGCCTCACTTTCTCCACTAGGCCCAGGCTCTCTCTCCACTCTGACCTGGTGTGGCCCACACACAGGAGGAGGCAGCAGCCATTCCGCAAGCCCCTCGGACAGCCCTGCCGCCTTCGGCTCTGAAATGCTCACGGGAAATCTCTCCTCGGCCCCGAGAAACCCGCACTGACCGTGCCGCCCGCCTCATGCTGGTCTCAGCAGCAGGTGAGCCCAGCCTTGCAAGGCCCCGCTCTGCACGTGGGGCCCGCCACCCCGTGGGGCAGCAGGAGCAAGGCTGTGACCCCCACGGCAAGGCTGGGCCCCTCCCCGTTGGCTCCTCTGTGCCTGGCAGAGGCGAACATGGCCGGCAGTTTCGGGTCCCTCCCTCCCCCGCAGGGTGTGGCATCGGGGTTGGCCGTGAGTCCGGAGCCCTTCTAGGCGGGGCTTGCTGTGTGGGGCTGCGGCTGGTCCAGGTTCCTGCTCCGGGCCCTGAGATGCCCCAGGACTGTGACACCCTCTGCCCCAAAGGGACCACGTGGAAAAGCCTCGGGTGGACAGCACAGCCTCACGTGCATGACTTCCAACCAGGGGCGCCCCAAAGCCATCAGAAAAGCGGGGCCCTGCTCGCCCTTCCCCTCACCTATCAGCTCAGCCTGGACACACAGCCATGCTCAGGTGCACATGTCTGGCCAGCAGCCACCGCTGCCCCTGGAAATAGGCCTCTTCAGTGGCTGTGGCCCGGCCAGCATCAGCCACCAGCTCCTCGCCCTCCCTCCAGGCCGTGTCCAGAGTCTGGGCACTGACCACAGCCCCACAGAGAAGCTGGTGTCCACCCGCTACCTCCCACGGGTCCTGGCAGGGAGGAGAGGGTGGAGGGTTGGGGTGGCAGCTCCCACTCTCCTGGGCTGCAGCCTGGGGGTGTGCACAGGTCCCAGAGCACATGGGAGGTTTCTAGCTCTCCCGGGAACATGACGCTCCCCTGGGTCCCAGAACGCTGAGCTGATGCATATTCTCTGGATCAAAGGTCCTGGGGGGGTGTGTCTTGGGGAGTTGAGCATGGACCCCAGGTGGCTGGGTGGCTGGAGGACTCGGTCGTGGTTCAGACCAGTGGCTTGCGGAGAGCAGAGAGCTTGCCCGCCCGCTCCCCTCCCCGACCCCACTAATGCATCCTGAAACCATCTCCCAGGTGCCTCACATGCCGCCATCACTGCAATCAATTGCGTTGGAAGAGGAGCGAAGTCGTTCTTAACCAAAGAGCAACCCTTTGTAGGTCAGGCCCAGCACCCGGGGCAGGAGGGGCTGTGTGCAGGGCTGTGGGGAGGCGGGGCTGCGTTCAGATAGGGGAAGGGGCGATGGGGAGGGGAGCTAAGTGCTTCTCTTTGTGAGCATGTCCAGAGCCTGGCCCCAGGCGTGGATCCAGCGATGACCAAGCAGAGGCCAGGGACTTGGGGGGATGGCAGGCTGCCCAGGACAGCAACCCTGGTCAGGGTCCCGGGAGAGACAAGTCTGAGCCCAGTGCCGGCCGCGGCTGTGCCTGGAAACCGTGGCTCCAGCACAGAACACCGCCCACCCATCAGATTTCGCTGGGCTGTTCACACGGGAGTGTGAGGAGCGGGCCTGGGGCCTGCGGTGGGGGCTGCGGAGATGAAGGGGGGACCAGGCCCGAGAGCTGGCCCGGGCAGGCCCTGAGAGGAGCCTGCACATCTAGGCTTCTGGAACGAAGAGCAGCGTGTGGGGCAGGGGACAGGCTCTGAAAATGACTCCAGGTTGCATGGGAGCAGCTCAGGGCCTGCAGTCAGGGGGCAGTGCCAGCCCCTTTTCCCGGCTCCTGGGGAGAGAGGCCAAGGTGGAGCTAGGAGGTGGCCACCCCAGGCGCCCAGGCCGCACCCAGGCCCCCGCTCTCCTAGCTGCTCTAGGTGAGATCCAGACACGGCCGCCTCTGGCTCACCAGCCTCGGTGGAGCTGCCACCCTGCCCACGAGCCCCTGCCCTCGGGCTCACTTGTTGTAGAGCACGATGTCTGGCCGCCAGATGAGCTCGGAGGGGATGCGGATGGAAGTCACGTTCTCGTAGTCCCTGGGGTCCCAGCGCAGCTTATAGTCCCGCCACTCCTGCACGGGCAGGAGAACGCTCAGCTGAGGGACGGGCAGGGCTGGGGGCGGTGGCCGCGGCGCCCCTCCCACTCACCTGCTTCACCCACACATTCGTCGTCATCATCTGGTTCTTCTCGTCCTAGGACAGAAACAAGGAAAGAAGTCGCGGCGCCTGCAGTGACGGGCCCATGGCTCTCTGGCCCTGACTCTTCTTCCCCACAGGCCAGGCCAGGGCTGAACACGGGAGAGTGAGCACCGCATCTGCGGAGGTAGCCACGCCCAGGGAGGGAGGCCCAGAAGGCACTTAGGGATATGGCGGCAAGGCCCCCAACCTTTCCAGAAGCAAAGTGAGGACAAGGTTTGGCCAACTGTATAGGCAGCTGGGGCTGGCCCTCCCCCAGCTGTGGGTGGGTGTGTGGGGAAGGGGGCACCCCAGCTGTGGATGTGTGGGGGGAACAGGGACACCAAAGGCGACCTGCATTGCTCTGTCACAGCTGGGCAGCCCCTCTGCATATGGGCCCCAGGTGAGAGGCACCCGCCCCTCCTGCTGCCTCCAAATCCACCTTGGTGTGCACCGGGCGCCTCGCTACCAGACTCTGGTCAGGGTGGGCCTTGCTCCTCCAGGGGACAAGCTCCCAGCCCCCTGTTTGGGGAGAAGAGATCATGTCCCCAGGCATGGCCCTTGGTCCAGCTCTCCTGCAGGCCCGCCTGGGACAGGCCCTCAGCTGACCCAGTGGGACCCCCACAAGAAAAGGGTGCTGAGGAGTATGTGACCTCAGGAGAGCCAAGAAGCGATGGCTGCCCGTCCTGCCTCCCCTCCGGGTGGACGGCCTGCCCCTGGAGGCCCCATCCCCGACCACAGGCTCCAGACCCTTCCAGGGGACAGCCTGCCTCCCTCCCAGCGGCCTGCCCAGCCCACGCGTGCAGCGTCAGCCCAGGGCCTGGAAAGCACCGGTGCCTTGGGCTCCTCTGTAGGCGGGAGCTCACACACGCGAGCACTGGGGCCAACACAGACTGGCAGCAAATGATGAGCCCCAGGGGGATGGGCGAGGAGGCCCTTGCACCCACCACCTGGCCCTGGGCCTCCGCAAAGGCGGCTCCTCAGCACCTCTGAAGGCGTGTCCTCAGTCAGCCCCAGAGCTACAGCGGAGCCCGGAGCTGGCCCCACCCTGCCTGGTGCTGCCGCGGGCCTGGAGTCTCCGGGATAGTGCTAGCTCCCTCTGGCCTTGGACTCTCCTGGACAAATTGGGGAGATGGGCGATGTGGGGAGAGAGGAGCCCCAAGGAGCTGGCAGGAGGCCAGGCCTTGGTGCAGCCGGAACCTTGAGTGGCAGCCAGCGGACACCTCCACCAGCCACCACTTTGAACTGCCCTGGATGGTGAGGGCAGAAGGATGGTGAGGGCAGAAGGGCGGTGGGGGCAGAAGGACGGTGGGGGCAGAAGGACGGTGAGGGCAGAAAGCAAAGTGAGGACAAGGTTTGGCCAACTGTATAGGCAGCTGGGGCTGGCCCTCCCCCAGCTGTGGGTGGGTGTGTGGGGAAGGGGGCACCCCAGCTGTGGATGTGTGGGGGGAACAGGGACACCAAAGGCGACCTGCATTGCTCTGTCACAGCTGGGCAGCCCCTCTGCATATGGGCCCCAGGTGAGAGGCACCCGCCCCTCCTGCTGCCTCCAAATCCACCTTGGTGTGCACCGGGCGCCTCGCTACCAGACTCTGGTCAGGGTGGGCCTTGCTCCTCCAGGGGACAAGCTCCCAGCCCCCTGTTTGGGGAGAAGAGATCATGTCCCCAGGCATGGCCCTTGGTCCAGCTCTCCTGCAGGCCCGCCTGGGACAGGCCCTCAGCTGACCCAGTGGGACCCCCACAAGAAAAGGGTGCTGAGGAGTATGTGACCTCAGGAGAGCCAAGAAGCGATGGCTGCCCGTCCTGCCTCCCCTCCGGGTGGACGGCCTGCCCCTGGAGGCCCCATCCCCGACCACAGGCTCCAGACCCTTCCAGGGGACAGCCTGCCTCCCTCCCAGCGGCCTGCCCAGCCCACGCGTGCAGCGTCAGCCCAGGGCCTGGAAAGCACCGGTGCCTTGGGCTCCTCTGTAGGCGGGAGCTCACACACGCGAGCACTGGGGCCAACACAGACTGGCAGCAAATGATGAGCCCCAGGGGGATGGGCGAGGAGGCCCTTGCACCCACCACCTGGCCCTGGGCCTCCGCAAAGGCGGCTCCTCAGCACCTCTGAAGGCGTGTCCTCAGTCAGCCCCAGAGCTACAGCGGAGCCCGGAGCTGGCCCCACCCTGCCTGGTGCTGCCGCGGGCCTGGAGTCTCCGGGATAGTGCTAGCTCCCTCTGGCCTTGGACTCTCCTGGACAAATTGGGGAGATGGGCGATGTGGGGAGAGAGGAGCCCCAAGGAGCTGGCAGGAGGCCAGGCCTTGGTGCAGCCGGAACCTTGAGTGGCAGCCAGCGGACACCTCCACCAGCCACCACTTTGAACTGCCCTGGATGGTGAGGGCAGAAGGATGGTGAGGGCAGAAGGGCGGTGGGGGCAGAAGGACGGTGAGGGCAGAAGGATGGTGGGGGCAGAAGGGTGGTGGGGGCAGAAGGGTGGTGGGGGCAGAAGGACGGTGGGGGCAGAAGCCTGACATGGCTGGGGACAGGGCACACTGACGGGGTCTCCCTGCTAACGGGGCCCCTGCTGGCCCTTTCTGCCCCAGGGGGGATGGGCAGAGTAGGCTACGGCCTCTCCCGCCTCCCAAATATTGCCCAAGTTGGCAATGCTGTGCTCATCCTATTTCACAGGGGAACAGATAGGCAGGCAGCCTGGCACCAGGTCCCCCACACACCTCCCTGAGCCGACTCAATGTTAAGGTCCTGGCAGGGGCAGGGATGGGCATCTGGGAATATCTGTAGCCCCCTATAGCTGGACAAACCAGGCTCCCAGAGGCCCCTCCTTGCCAGGCTGGACAGACCCACACACTCCAAGGCCCTCAGGAGCCCAACCCAGGTGGTGTGCCCATCACCCAGTCAGATCACACCCGCAGGATGAACCCTAAACCCAGAGCAGCAGTCATTCGAAGGCTGGATCCTCCTAGGAACCCCTGTGGCCCCTAACCACGAAGATAAACACCCCTCAGACCTATCCGAGACTCCCCCAAAGCCTGCATTCCAGACCTGTAGGTAATGGGGGGCTCCTGAACCAGCTTGAGGACAGGTATTGCCCCATCAGGTGCACAATTCACACAAAAGCCCCACAACTTGACCTGGCACCGGCCCCACCCCACAGAGACATCTGCCCTTGGCCTCTGAGGCTGGCAGCCTGGCCCACTGCTGACCACCTGGCAGTGTGTGTCCCCACGTGGGGCAGAGAAGGACCAGGCCTGGGGCAGGTGTGCACAGCATCTGCCTCTCCTCCAGATCCCACCACAAAAGTGCACTTGCTGGACTCAGGCAGGGGGCCGTGCAGGCTCCTCAGCCCGGCACCACCTCCAGGACCATGTGTGACAGCCAAGGCCCAGAGCTCCCACCCTTGCACCTACCACGTCAATGAGCTGGGCGATGGACAGGCCAAAGTGAACAAGGACCACGTCCGAGATGTTGGCCACGGGCCGGGACCACTTGTTGTAGCCAGAGAAGAGTTTCTTCAGCAGCCGTTCCTCTGCGTGAACCCGAGTCTCCACGTGGCCGCTCACTGAGGACAGGCAGGCGTGTGGCTCAGAAGCAGGGTCCAGTGGCCCCCAGGCTGCCCCTCCAGCCTCATGCCAGGCTGTGCTCAGCCACCCTGCTTTCTTCCATCTCTCCTGGCACATGCTACTCACCTCAGGACCTTTGCACAAGCTGCCCTACTCCCCACTTCCTTACGGAAGCCTTTCCAGCCCCCTCAGTCCTTCCTAGCATGGGCACCTCACCACAGAAGTGTTCAGCTGTCCCCACAAGCACTGATTTGGATGAGTCCCTCTTGGGGACTGTATCTCCAGCCACCAGCAGAGCCGTGAGAACCTTGCTTCAAAGCACAGGTGGGGAGTGAGGGTCCAGCCACCCAGAGCCGCTTTCAGTGGTTGCCAGCAAGCCCAAGGCTAGCCCCGGAGTTACCATCTCCTCAGGGACATCTCAGTGCTGACTCTGACAACCAGCCCAGCACCCTGTGTTCTTGGATGGACACACACAGACTGCCCTCCAAGAAGGCTGGAGTGAGCCCCCAGTGGGGAGGTCCAGTCTGTGGTCTCATGGCCTCCCTGGCACCTGCATCACAAGGGGGACTGGGAGACCCCCTGCCCCTGCTTCTCTCAACTTGCCCTGCTCACTTGCGAGTCATCTACAGGATATGAGGAGGGCTGTGCACCCCTGGGGTCGGTCCTGGACCCAGACCCTGCCCTCCCAGCCCACAGCTTGGACCTTGCTCCCTGGTGCCTTTGACCAGGAAGGTGTAGCCACCCCTCAGTGGGGAGGCCAGGGGTTCAATTCCCTCAACCCCCCTGAATAGCAAGGTGGTTGCTCAGGGCAGGGGAGGTGGAGGGGGCTGGAACTCCCCCGCAGAGGCCACCTCTCTGATCCCCCAAACCAGGAGCAGGCGTGGGGGCAGGGTCTGCAGGTTAATTTGGCTGGATGGGTGCGGGGGAGGGGTGGTGAGATGGGGCCTCTTCTCTCCACCCAAGTCGGAGCTTCTGGGTCCATTTCCTCAAATAGCAGCCCCCACCCACCCAAACCCCTCTCCCCACATTCGGGCGGGTTAACTCCGTTCTCGCCCTGCTCAGCCGGCGCCGAAGGGCAGCCTCTGC